GACAAGTTATTTCGTCGACAGGGTCATTTCGTCGACAAGTCATTTAGTCTACAGAATCATTTAGTTGACAGGATCATTTCGTCGACAGGGTCATTTCAACGACAGGGTCATTTCGTCGACAAGTCATTTCGTCGACATGGTAATTTCAAAGGCATGGTCAAGGCAAAGTTATGTGTAATTTTGAAACTAGTTTTCTAATTTTTTACATTAGTCGTTATGCCCTTGTACTTCTTTGTAATTTAGTATATTTGTGATGAAATTTTTTAAACCAAGCTTGATGCAAAATCTTAATAGTATGTTGAATTTGCAAAAAGAAGCATTTTATTTGAAAATTGCCTACTCCTCTATTCACAGCAAGTTGCCAAAACGAAACATTTTTTACATTTGGTGCATATATTTTTATTACTTTTAATTCTAAGAATATTTTATTTTATTAATTTCTCTTGACATTAAAAATAATTTGATTGCTAACGTCAAACTATATTACTACTGACCACGGTCCGGATATCATGCTTGGTAATGTTCTGAAGGCAATCCTTACCTATTTTGAAAATAAGCATCGAACTATTACGATTTAGATGTAGAAAAGTAGATTTTGATTCATCAACCTTTCTCGATTAAACGCTTCTCAACTACCTATCAATTAATTTAAAAAGCGAACTTCTTTTAGTGCAATTGGAACAATACACAGCAATAAAGAATTTTACTTTAGTATAAAACTTAAATAATAGCATTTTTCTAATTAATAATAAAAATATTTAGATTAAATCTCTAAAATAGTTTTAGAATTACGCATGACACTATCAACGAAATGACCCTGTCGACAAAATGACCTTGTCGATGAAATGACCATATCAACGAAATGACCCTGTCTACGAAATGACCTAGTCGATGAAATGGCCTGTCGATGAAGTGGAGTCTATGAAAAGGCCTGTCGATGAAATGAACCAGACCCTTTTTCTTTTCTCTTTTTAAAGCAACCCGTTGTTAAGTGTTTAAATTGTGATTCGTGAAGAAACAATATTTATAGTATAACGAATCAAGCTATATTAGGAAACAGTTGTTTTTTTCTTAAAAGCACATTTATTTAACAATGACACATAAATTAACAAAATTAAAGTATCCGTAACGGGTTAGTATAAAACTCAAAATCAAAAACAAAAACTACCAAAAATCAACTCAAACAATTTTTTTGGTAATTTTTAGACTTCATAATAGTATAAGATATATTGTAATCGTAGTAAAAATTAAATGGAAAAGTATTTTTTTGTAAAAAAATTATAATACCATCTTGAATAAAATGTATCAAATTGTCTAATAACTTTTAGAATAATAATTCACGTAAATCCTCCAAAGCATTCATTTTTGGAAATCTACACTCATTTTTAATCTATAATAAATGTCATAGAAGTCCCAGAAATATTTTTACGATCAAATTAAGAAAAGGACAGTTGAAACGTTTATGTTCAATATCTGAAGTCTCATATATACATTGCAAATAAGTTTTAATTACCTTTAACTAAGAAGTTGACAATTCGTTGCTGCAATGTGTTTATTAGGTATGGAACTAAAATATTAGAGAGCAAAGATTGATTAGAATAACCTGAGAAAGTCATGATTAAGTGTTAAAACATTGTTGATTACTTAATGATGAATGATTCACTATTGCGTTTATTTTTTCTTCACTTTAAAATGATTTTCAGATTAAATTAAAGCATCACAAAGATCGCACCTTAAAATACTTTATAAATTATTAGAATGTTTTTCACTATAATATCAAGGAAGAATTAAAAGTATTTCGAAGTTATAATATTTTCGCGGAGAGATTTAAAAATTTTTATTAAACGTGAATGTGACATTTTGCTGTTCTGGTTTCAGTTACAAATATAAAATTGCTTTTTTCTTTCTAGGAAAGTACTTAAATTATTAGTATTTCACTTAGGATGTCAAAACAAACCCTTTTTCATTCTAAAGGCATCGCATGAAAAAAGTAAATTTATTACTTAAACAAAAAAAACTGTATTCATTTTGAGTAAGCATTTTTTTTTGAAAGACGAATGCAGTTTTTTTCATCAAACAATATGTAAAAAAATTATATTGCTTCCACTTTCTGTGTATTTAATCACATTATCTTGAAAAACACTTAGTTATCATCAAAAGTTTTTTTTTTTGGTGCCTTTTATGCTTGAAAAAAGGTTTTCAAGATCAGAAAAAAACATGATTTGCAGATCTTTAAAAAAATATGCCTTCAAGATATATTAATAAAGCTAAAGCAATTACGTTTTTCGTGCTTTTTACTACGTAAAAAGCATAATTTAGAATATTTTTCATTTTATACTTAAGATTTAATTATTATATCAAATCTTTAAGATAGTCAAATGCTAAAACCATCTGTGTCATAAATTCTAAATCGGAATTTGCTTTTGAAATACTCCTATAATGTTGTTCAACATTTTCTTAATGTTTTGAAAATCAGTTTATTTTTGAAAAATGGTTTTTATATCTGTTTTTTTTTTAGAATGTTCGGAGTAATAACAACCTTCCGAAACTCAAAAATGCCTATTTAAAGGAAAATATTTAAATTTAAATGATCAACAACTCAGATTTTTATTGTTGTTCTGATTTACATTTCAGTTAAAAAGGCTGTAGATAAGACATATCCACTTTCCAATAGGATGCAGTTTTCGCAAACTACGAAAAAATGTACAGTTAAGACCACCGCATATCATGAAATTTATAATATGTTTGGCTCCATAGGAACTCAAAAAAACTCGGTAATTTTTACGTGGTAATTATTGGTAATTGTCTTGGTAAACTTAATTATAAAATATGATTTTAAATGTGATAAAAGTTTTAAATTTATTGAAACTTGGAAATTTTATTATAGTACTAAAAACCATTTAATTTACTTTTCAATTTCATATTTCGTACTTAATGAGTGTATAATAAAGAAATATAATTTTGAAAACTAGAATTTCTGGTAAACCGTTACCATATGAAATGTTCATTAAATCATTTACCGTATGAAAAATCATTAAATGAGTGATTTAAAAACCAAATATTTTTTTTTATAATCAAAATGGGGTAATGGTGCACATCTGTCTCACTGTCAGAGCTAAGAGTTTTTTGCAGCTCTGAAATTAAAGCAAAAACACAAATTTCTTTAATACTTGCTTAATTTAATGAAAAAAATAATAATCAATTGCAAAAAATGACAATACTTACTCATTTAACAATAATGTGAATATTTTTGAAAGACTAGTTATCTCGTCGGGCAGGATAAAAGAGTTAAACAATTTTATCTTGACCTTAAAAAACAACGCTTGTTAGCAACGCCAAATTATTATATATCGTCTAATGCTTATGTGTCTCTTCTAAATCGATATTTCAGTAGTCAGAAATTCAAATTTTAACCGTAGTTCAGTTAAAATTGCTGAAAATTTATATGAATGGTGAAATAAGCCACCTTCAAAATCCAACGAAACCATTTTTTTGCTCATAAGATCTTTAAAAACTGATTGCCTTTTGGAATATTTTCCGTGAAACAAAGACCAACACTTATCCGACTTCCAATCTGCCAGAATAATAAATTTTATAGCATACATATCTTTTCTTTTTTTAAATGAAAATTTCCGCAATAAATGACTCGGAGTTTCAAAAGTCGTTCTATTTTAAATTTCTATTTAAAATGTTGTTAAAAGATTCACAATTCAACTGGGATATGGCTTATTTCTTCAGAATGTAGAAAACGATTTTTTATATTTCAGCCGATTGTATAATTTATATCTGCATGTAATCTGGATATAAAAAATTGTATCTCAAAGTATAACAACGTTCTTTTCTAAAAAATTGAAAAAATTGGAGTTTCGCTATTTTCATAAGTTTAATAATTCTCAGAAGCAGAATTTATTGTTATTTTTTCGAATTTATCACTATTCAAAATTGCAACCCTTTTTAAACTAGCTAAAGCATTCATATCTTCCCTGTGCTGAACGGCTATATAAGTTTCCATTATTCCATGACCACTGTATGTAGAATTTATCATGATATTATATTGTCAAAAAATTTATCGTCAATCTAAATTTCAACTCCTTTTGAACCAGCTAGAGCATTTACGTTTTAACTGTGTCGAAAGGAAATACAAGCTGCCATTTTTTCCTGATAGTAAGCAAAATTTATTGCAATACCGTCGCCAAAAAATTATCATCTATCAGATTTTCGAGTCATTTATGCTTAGCTAGAACACTATGATTTTGACTGAATCCTTTTTTCCAGGTAATCGGATACTCGAAAATGAATTTATCACTTTTTCTCCAATAAAAATTAATCAAAATTTAACTTCAATTCTGAATCTGATGATATTCCAGGTTTCAATGGTTTTCTGATCTACACTTTAAATTTATCACTAAACTATAGTCAATCTAAATTCAGACTCTTTTTTGCTTAATAAGAGCTTTTAAGAGTGCTTAATTTACCCTCACTCTCCTAGTGCTGCCATATACAAAATTCAATAGTTTCTTGAATGGTTCAAATCATTTAGAAAACCGTTGCGCCATTTTATCAGCAATCAAAATTTTGACTACTTTCTGTAAACCTACAAACTAATAGATAGTTAACTGGGAACAAAATGACTAGCGAAATAAGAGGAAGGAAATATTAAAATTAAATTTAAAAAAATACAATAAGCGATATGCTTTTGCAAGTGTTTTTGCCAGACAAAAACGAAATGCATAGTACAGATAACTTTTGCACAATTAACTTCTTTTATCAGCAAAAAATCTCCTCATTCGTTTTACCGAAAATGATGTGACATACGCTTCTTTTAGCAGATAAAAAAACAAAACAGATATACTTTTTCTTATTTAGCTTATGTGTTAAAACGCAGTTTAATAAATATGCATTATTTTTTAGTATTATTACTAAGTACTGATCATCTAACTTTTATTTAAATTAAATTTTTTATTTTAAAATGTATTTAGCAACTCCTCCTAATATTTCAGCTGCGGGGATTTCCAAACACATACCTCATGAGAAAAGTTAATCATCCTCAACGATCTAGAAGGAATGCCGTACATTTAACTAAGAGGCTAGCCGATGATCACAGAGTAAATATAACCTTAGCTACAGGTTTCAATTATAAACATTTTGTTCCAACTACAAATGACTTAATTTATTTGAATTATTATTATAATGTGTAAATGTTATGTGTACTGTTTTAAATATACTTTATATTAACGTTTTTATATTAACAAATTGCGTTAATTTTCAAATATGCTGCTAATTTCTTAGATCTTATGAAAGTATACCATTGTTTGTCCGGTTCAGTGTGTTATTCTTTTCAGCTATGATAAAATATCAATGGTAATATCAATTTCATTGAAAAGGTTATATTTGACTATGTAGCAACACTGCTTAGGATGAAAACAGATTCTTTTCTTGTGAAAATCTTTTATACTTTTTGACATTTTACACATGCAATAATAGTAATCAAAATTCCAATCTTTCAATGTCTTGAGAAGACTGGAATTGTTTATAGGATATAATCTCACACTTTCTGATGGCTGGATGTTTCGTACTGTCTAGCTATCACCAGAACTCTTTTCGTCGAAAAGTCGTAGGTTGCCATCTCATATGGAAACAGTGAAACCACTTATAATAGAAGAAATGATAATCTCTCCCAACCCAAAGAAATACGAAAAGGTTAACTCATACACCTATTAGAAATGGCTTATTTTCGTTGCCACGGTAATAGTCAGCATGCCAGTCTAGCAGAGTTGGGCGTCGATTTCAGTAATCTATTACAACTGTAATTGGTTACAGATAATTACTGCTATGCAATCAATTACTTGTAATCACGATTACAGATAATCGCGATTACAAGTAATCATAATTTTTGATTACATCAGAGTAGAGCAAATGTGTAATCGATTGCATTTTTTAGGTACAGTAATCAATTACTTGTAATAATGATTGCAACATGATTACAACTGTAATCGTGATTACAATACTCAATTACACTAATCAATTACTTGTAATCATGATTACAAACACATTCTTAATTTTGATTACAGCTGTAATCCTGATTACCCTAATTACATAACCAATAACTGTAATCAACTACTTGCAATCGTGATTACAAGTAATTAAAATATATGATTACATCATGATTACATGTAATCTTGATTGTAATTATTACTACATGTAATCTAAATATACGATTACAAGACTATTGTATAAATACATATGATTATATTTCACAGTAGATAGTATAATGTATCGTATAATAATACATTTTGCATTTATTTACATGCAGAGCATGTACGAATGAATATAACTAAAATGCATGAACATATGAATTTATACAATGCAATGGTAGATAAATGCATATGTGCAGACATTTTAGTTACACACATATACATTCACTTACATTGCATGTATAAATTATATGTACGTATGTATATAGATAAAAATTACGTATGCATGTGCAAACAATGTAGACATGTACATTTATACACAATGAATGTATGCATTTTACGCAAAACTTGAGTATGTAAAATGTATATCTTTGTTCATGTACGCATGTATATGCTTGCTGTTTGTGCGAACATACATTGTTTGTACAATGTTTGTCCCTTTCATGTATGCGTGTACACATACACGATATATGTATGTCCCAAGCCAACACGTACGATTTATTTATGAACAATATAAATATTTATACACACATACATACATTCGACATGCATATATTGTACAGATGCAGATGCATACTTTCGACATGCATAACATATGTACATACATACATACATACATACATTTGACATGCACATATTGTGCAGATGTATATACATACAGTGTACAGATGTACATTCATATAATGTACATATGATGTAATAGGCATATAATGTTCTTATAATGTACATATGTGCATACATATATTTTACATAAATCTTTCATACAAATTTTACATGTGTACTTACATGTTATCCCAATGCATGCAGCATGTACAATGTATATATGTCCAATAAATGTAAACACACGCGTACAATACACGTATGTTCCATGCATGCATATCCATATGTACTATGTATGAATGTATGTACATGCATTGTAGATGCGTACATACATTATGTACAATATATTTATGTCTAAATATATTTACAATTTATAAAATAAAATGTATGTAAGCTAACTGATAACGACTCAAGAAAGCTAAATGACAAAATCAAATGATATGTAAATTTAGTTTTCAGCTTTAATTGTTCTGTAAAATTTTAAAATTGTTTGAATAAAATATAATTTTCAGGTATTTTCTTAAAATGTTAGACGCTACGAATTAATTTTTGATAACATAGTTCATAGATAGCAAAAAAGCTGCTAATTTAATATGTGGAAATAATATTTAGGAATTTAAAATAAGATTATCGTTTGCTTTCCAAAAAATACGATATTGAGTTTTATATATCTTAGAATAAACTTTAAAACGAACTTTAATAACTTAACTGTAATAAAATTTTTTTAGTGCATGCACAATTTATGTGCACATTGTAAAAAAATGTATTTAAATGTACTCATGTATTTATACATTAAATGTAATTACGTACATGTATACGTTGTAGGTACATACATATATATATGTACATCTAACCATTTTTAGTACATCCATACATTACATGTGCAGATGTATCAACAAAGTATATAGTTATATAAATATGCATGCTGCGTGTACAAACCCTATATCTCTGTACATATAAATGTACATGCATACATGTATGCGTCTGATTTAAGCAACTATGTGCATATAGTGTACCTATAAACAACACTCTTACATATTTTACGTAAATACGTAGAGTGTATTTACAAACGTACATTGTATATACGCTCTACTATCGCAAATTTATCCAATGTATGTACTTACGCACATAAATGCATGCATACATCTGAACATTATTTTCACATACGTTCATACATATATTTTCTATGTATACAAACATGCGAAACATTGCATTAGCATGAAAACTAACAAATATGCGTGCAATTATCATAAATGCTTAATTACGTGTACTAAGCATATACGTACTGTATATTGTACGTACAAACAACGTTTTTACATGCATTGTATATGTATATATAGGAATCACAAATTGTACGTACATGCAAGCGTACATTCTATGTACATAAAAATATGTATCCCCATAATTACTTACATAATGTATTTGCATATAGAATGCAATTGTAATTGCTTGTAATCGTATAGTTTGATTACAAGTAATCACAATTACTTGTAATCAAGATTGCATGTAATCATGATTACATGTAATCATATATTTTGATTATTTGTAATCATAATTACCCGTAATAATTTTTGTTGTGATTACTTGTAATTGCAATTAATTGGAATCATGATTACAGTTGTAATCAAAATTTTGATTACAGTCGTAATCAAGATTACAAGTAATTGATTACTGTAATCAATTATTGTAATCACGATTACAGCTGCAATAAGAGTTTTTGACAGTTGTAATCACGATTACAAGTAATTGATTACTGCAATTGTTTGTTGCAATCACGATTACAGTTATAATCAAAATTATGTTATCTTGATATTATCATTACGAGTAATTGATTACTGTAATCGAAAAATGCAACCGATTACATTTTTGTCCAACTCTGCAGTCTAGTGGCTGAAGGAGTTCTCGTGACAGGCGAAGAGTGCACTCCTGCATGAACACTTCGTGTTGATGCGAATTTTTCATTGTGGTAGACAATTTATTTATAATTAAACCACTGGTGGCATACCCGAGGAGTTGTTTTGTGTTTTTCCATGTAACTCAAATCAATTTAATTTAACAGAAAAAAAGTGTTCTGCACGAAGATGAGTTTGATTGTCTCGAGTCAAGACACTCGTCCCTTTGCGTCATAAATGGGATTGAAGGACACGAAGTTTCATTCATGCTCAAATAAATTTTATTTCGTCAACTTCATATATGTTTGCATTTGACTGATCATTAATTGTTATAATATAAAATATAGGACATTGAAAAGCGTCTCATACGACTCATGAAAATAGGAGTATATTCTGCTGGCAATCGACCTATATACCAAGAAGGGCTGTTTTAAACGTCTTTCGCATTTTTAAATCCTACATTAGCACATTTTAATTGTTTACCAAAATAGCCGTAAGTAAAATTTTTGATAAATACTTACCCCAAAGGCCGGGATAGCCTCGTCGGTAGGGCACTGAGCCCATGTCCAAGAGTTCGTGGATTTGATCCCTGCCGGCCGGTGGTGACTGATGCACGTTAAAACTGTAGAGTTTCAAAGTCCTCCATGTTCCCATAACAGATCAATACCTCTGGGGTTACAGATCCAGGAGTTTCCTTGTCTTCTAGATTGGTTCAAAATTACAAGGCTACGGAGCTGAACAGTAGTAGTCGTAAACTCTGTTTTGTCCTCTCTTTTTAAAAGAAATGTAAGACATTTACAAATAAAAAAAATAAAAAAAACTTTCGCAAAACTTACGAACTAGGAAAGAAACTAGATACTTACGTCATTTGCATAGAGTTGCATTAGTTTTCTTAATACCTACGATCGTAAAAAACCTATTACCACAGTACTATGAATACATGCATTAAAAATACTTTGTACCCACTGAAACCACATCTTTACTTAGTAGTACCTATTACCAAAATTAATTAAGCATCATTGGCGTCAATAATTGTATAGTGATATATTAATTGTATATGTTCTCTCGAAACTAATAAGAGAATATCTTTATTAACTTTGCTTTTTAGCACAGAATTTATTTTTCTTTAATTTTCAATTAACGTTCTTCTTACACAATATTAACGAAACATGTTGCAAAATCACAACTAAAAGCAAAAGAAATACTATATGGATACAAATAACTTAAAAATACTAATGCGGTGAGCTCTTGCACACAATTTACGTTGATCCTTAATTTTATTTGACGCAACAAAAAATAAATAAATAATTATGTGCAAAGAATAAAATCCTTTTTTTTTTTATTAAATAGAACTATAAGATAGCATACATAATGTTATATTTTAAATATTTAAAAAATAGAACCATCTACAGTTTAATTCATGAAATAGTCAATTCTAAATCAAGTAAAAATTCCCTCTTTCAGCTGCTATCGAAATTTCCTCTCATCCTTTTAATATAGATAAGTGACAACTTCATATTTACTCGAGTTTTATTTTATACATTATTAAGTCACCTTTATTTCTGAGAAGGAACTTTTAAGTTTACTAAATGAATGCCTCTAGCGGCGAAGCTCAAATTTCAATTTGAATGCACCTCATTTGCACCATACTGAAATTAGTAAACAAAAGATCCTATTTATAGTGCTCATAACCGCATAGATTGGATGACTAAACCAACAAGACGTCAGTTTAGAGAATGCCTAATTTATTTAATCTCGCTTAATTGGCCGCCTAAAAGGCTCTCAGAATCGTGATTTAATGAAGAGAAAATTTACTGAGTTGAGAAACCAGAGCGTCAATTCAATTTGATATTGACGAAATGCGTAAATAATAATCCATGTTTTATTAATTATTTAGAAAAACAAGTTCTTCATGAAAATTCAGAAAGGACATTTTTGAAAGGAAATATGATTGCCTTATATCTAGAGTTTATACGTGGAATAAAATAAGCTAAATTTTTGTCATTCATAATGTAAGAAGTACAAGGTCGGGAAGATGCAGCTATACATTTTAATTTGCTTTAAATTTTGATTTCATTTTATGAATAAATATTTTGTTTATTGCAAATTAAACAGGTGCATTCTTTTATTTCATTTTTTAAATTCATTTTCATTTATTAAATGTTTTTTTATTAAAAACAATGTGTTAATTGTTTCGTTACTAAATGTTTTGTTTATCAAACAATGCGCTAATTGTTTCGTTATTAAATGTTTTGTTTATTAGCCAATGTTTTCTGTTTATTAATATTCACTTTATATTTAATTAAAAACATTGAATTTGCAGCAGGTTCTTAAACTATTTAGCAAGCAATAAAATCACTTAATTCCATGAAAAAAAAGAAGGAAAGAATTACGAAAAAAAATATTGTTTTTTCAAATTAGGTAATAAAATTCAATTTTTTTTTGTTGAAAATTGTAATACACTTAAAGCTTAATTATTTTTATCAAAATATGAAGCCAACATTTTAAATTTTTTAGATTGATACGAAATGCAAGAGACTGGAACAACTACATGAAAATTCTTCAATCATTAACTCAAATCTTTGAATCCGAATGCATCAGGAAATTTTTCCTACATTTAAGCCTAAATTTTAAAATTTTTAGAATGATTTGCGAAACAAATGACCAAAACAAATGAGAGCAAATGTTTTCTTTGACTCAAATTTTTTAATCCGAATTTATCATGAAATTCTTCCTTCAATTAACTCAACATATTAAATTTTTTTGAATGATACTCAAAACAGGGGACAGGAATAACCACATGGAAATGTTATGTGTATATATGTGCATATATTATAACTATGTCTATAAACGTCGGGGGGAACGTTTACCTTCACTAACTCAAATCTTTGATTACGAGTGTATGATGCGAAAATTATGCATGAAATTGTTGATTCAGGTAAAATCCTAAATAATCATTTTGCCTATAATAGGACCTGACAACTCTAGGTTCATGTGTAAGTAAAAAAAAATAATTGATAAACAGAAAATGAGTTCATATACACAAATACTATATTACCAACGATTAGCAGCTAACTATCATTCAAAAAAACATTGTGTTTTCAATGTCTGATATCAATCATTTCCCAATTATGTTAAACTTTAGGTTGAATGGGCTGAACAACAGATTGCAAAAAATCGTGTGAAAAGAGATTTTTCTAGAGTTACTCCAGAATTTTTGAGGGAGACGACTAAGGAACGTTTTAGGTTTAATGACTACTTGTGGCCAGATCAGTGGTACCTGGTAAGTAATACAATACAGTCAACAACAAAGCAATTTTTTGTAGTCTATATTATATCATCACTATATATATCCTTAATAATATTATCCGTAATATATCCTGTATAATATGTGTAATAAATATAGGGTGTACTAAATTATACAGACAGTTTTCAAAATATTTATAATACCTTACGAAACTTAGACATTTAAGGTAATAAAAAAATTCTTGCAACACAGTCATGTAACAAGAAATACGTTTTTCTGAGTTTCTAGATTTAGAACAAAACTTTTCAGACAGATTACGCACTAAGTCTTGTCTATCAATTTTGCCCGTTGTATTTTGATGTATAAAAATTTCGCTCACTGATTACAAGTGATTGTGGACGTGTTCTAAATGTCAATTAAACTTTTCGGAAAATTAAAATGAAGAATTCAGATGCTTTTCTTTTATTTAAATATTTTATACTTACAGCGCCATCTGTAGAAAACTTTTTTAATTAAAAAATAGGAACTCGGGTAGAAAAAATTTGCACCGTGACATTAGGCTCTTGATCTTTTTTACAAATTTTAATCATTTTCATGTTATAAGTTTTGAAAGCATCAGTCTAATTTATAACACTATGTGTCGTTCACAGTTACTTACGGGAATACTAAATTTAGAGTTTCTTGGGATTTTATTGTTTAGTAGAACATTAGTTTCTAATCAGTACTGTGGACCATTAATGTAATTTCAACTTTAATGCGTCGTCAGGCTCCATACAAATAGCACTCAATACAACATTCATTTTTATGGGGCCACCAAAAATTGAGAGCAATTAATTGGTCTGAAGATAATGACACTCCCACATTTTAGTCTGGACTTAACTTGAGTTGACTCTCCTATAAGCCCATCTTTCAAATCAAGAGTTGAGTTTATTTCAGTTATTCAGTTGAGTATATTTGAGTTTGAGAACTGGAACTGTTATTTACATTGAAGTTATAAAGTTGTCAGTAACAACCGATGGTTATTGAAAGAGACGGTGAGTTCAGAGTTAAGTTAAAATAATTCTGTAATTAAATTCAACATTCAAATTGTTCAGCTCAACTCAGTATATTATTTGCTCATACAAATTACTTAAGAACGAAATTCAAATAAAATAATATTTTCAGCATGGAAGATGGATTAAAATGTTCTTACAGGACAATACACTCAATCTACGCTATTCGGATTTAAAGAAAAATGAAACTTTTTTCTCTTTAAAAGAAAAATGAAACTTCTTTTCTCTTTAAAAATAAGTATCTAATTAAGGATATATAAATAAAGCACGCTACGCTAATTTGCTTATCTATAACAATTTTTGAAAATTTTATACAGAATTCATTAAAAAATTGTTCAGAATATGTTTTTTTAAATAATGAAAGGTAAAGCTGTATACTTTTTAAAACTAGAATGAAGCCTTAGATAATCAAAACACTTTTATTAGGATGAAATAAAGTATTTCAGTTATTATATTCAAAAATAAAGTTTAGACATAAAAGTATTATGAATTATTTATGAGATAATGTTTACGATATTCTCAATTAGATAGAATTCAATCACTTTGGGTTTAAGGATAAATTTATGCATAATAGTACGTTCTAAAAACTATCATCATGCTAATGAAAAGCAAGAAGAAAAACATTTTCTGTCAATTAAAAAAAAATATTCGTCATGTTTTAAAGGATATTTTTTGTGAAATTTGACTCCTTTTCTCAGATTTAACGAAGCAAACATTTGTTTCCTAAATTTAAAATATTTTACAAAAGGAAACTTGAATAAAATCATTATTCACTCAATTTTTTTAAAACTTCAATTAAATATTATCGGTGATTTAATAAAATTGACCATCACATGTTAAAATTACCATCAAATTCATCATTCAAATATCCCTCTGGAAATCAGTTTTTATGTACAGGGCACAAAAAAAACGGACCACTCTGAATAACTTTTACTTTAATGATCGGATCTTCACGTTCTCACGTTCTAGGACTCAATCTTAATGGTTCGAGAGATTGACCTTAAATATTTTAACTAACAAGTGCAGATGATATTTTGAGCTATGAAATCCACAATCTGGAAAATATGGTCCCAATAATTTGGACAGGAGTGTACTCCAAAGTTTGGACCCCTTAATGTTAATTTTATTACTTCGTGTTTCTCTGTAACACGAAAACTTCCTAAGCGGATTGAAATTTTTTTACACACAATTATAAAATTCTTTTATCCAAAGATAATTCCAAGCAGAAAATAAATTTTAGTAAAAATATATTATTTTATTAAATAACAGTAAAAATTTTGAATTGAAAGGTAAACAATTTTTACGTCATTTTAAAGCATGTAATTTTATATGGCAAAATAAAAATTTTAACGAAATCACTTGAATAGTTTTTAACTCTACGAATTTTTCAAACAACTTGAATACAACGTGAAAGGCAAATTTTCTTTGTTATCATTATGATAATCGGATTTGCAATAACAGGGATAGGTCACGTTTTATTTTTACGCTAGACCACGTGTTACGCTGCACCACGTGTTTAATTTTTTTGATAGCTTCTCTATTGAAACATGCTTTTGTAAGCTTCAGATATAATAACAAAGTGCTTGTTACGGAAGGAATATAGTTTGCATTTACACTAATAAAACATGAACTGAATATTGAAAATTGTTAGAAAAAGTTGTTTTCTGATCATGTAAGGGCAATGGTAAAAAAAATCATATTCAGCGGATTCAAAAGGAATTTAAAAAATCTTAAGCATGCACTAAAACACAGATAGAAAAAGACGTGTATTATTTTATTATTCTTCCATGGACGTAAGATAGCACGAAGTGATAATGAACAATTCTTTTGATGGAAGTTAAGTCCAACCAAATTATCTACATAACTCTCTACTTGCACTGAGTGGTTCAATATGCGGTTACAAACATAATGGACAAATCATAAAGATTGCGAGTCGTGTAGCAGCCTATTTCTGAAAATATCATAGTACGCTGTTAGGGTGTCTTCATATTTTTATGCGCATGTGAGCCGATACTTTTATTTACCAAAACTAAAGTAATTTTACCGAAAATTTACATTTTCAGATCATTATTGTCAAAAATTGGATTCAAATAGGTACAGAACTAGTTCCTCGTCATAGTGTAGTTCACTAATTTAACATGCTGTGGCACTTATTTTGAGATGGTATATTTAACCTCAATATCTATCCTCGAGTCAAAATGATCTGAGTATGAAATTCAATTCGGTACTCAATTGGGTGGGTAGCATTTATCTGTAATTGGTTAAAAAAAGATAAAAATCTTACGTTCAAAATATTTTTCATTAAATAATGACTTTCTATTCACTTAGTATTCACTTAGCCTTCACAATAAATGCAAGAGTACTCAAAAACAAGTAATCAAAATTAAGAAGTCCTTCCCCAAAAAATGCAATGACACTAGACAGTTTTGAGTGACACATCACCAGAACTAGTGATCAAGATTTACTTTAGCTCTTCAAATTTAATAATAGTCCAGTGTACCACTCACTTGGGCCGCTGGCTATGGGTTGTTCCGTTCAATGAACATCATGTTCCGTTCATGTTGAACTGTTCAATGAATTATATATTGTTATTATGTCCGAATATATATATTGTTGTGAGTCCGAAGTAAGCTTAGTATTATATGCTTGTGTTTCTAAAATATCATGTTAGGACTTTGTAAATAAAGTGTTTATAACTTAATGATCTTTTAATTTAATGGTTTCGAAACTTAGCTAGCGTGTCAGGTTATTTTCTTGCTAATATCACTAATTTAGTTGCAGATAAAAAAAAAGATCTTGTTGATCCTATTTAGATGAAATTTTCGAAAATAGTAATTTGAAAATTAGAACATGATAGGAATGTCCATCTCAGAGTTGTATAAATATGATGTGTTATACTTTTCCTCTAAATTTTTAACCGCTGTGCTGAACCACCTGGCATATTTTTATCTTTTCAATCATTGAATACGGATCTCTTTTTGTTAGTGCTAGTCTTTGAAATCAAACGGTACAATTTTTTAAACTATAAGATTTGAACCTTAGAGGTTCAGGGGCTAAAATGCTTGCCTTCAATCAAATGACCCAGGTTCAAGTTCTTGCGATAGCTGATAGATTAGAATTCTGCTCTTGGATTGCACTAATCACAATACTGATGTGGGTGGAACTTGAGTGGTCGGTGGAACTTGATTTAGAGTTCCCCCCAAACCCTTGCTGTTGGCTATCGTGGTTTTCCTCTGCATGTAACGCAAAAGCGGGTTAGTCCCAGAAAAAATTCGTCCACGAAGACTAAGTTGACCAAACGCTTGATCCAGGAGTTTCTTTGTCTGAGTCGGCTACAAAATCACAGAGCTATGTCGTTTATGCCATGTTATTGTCTATGTCTATGACTGTCACAGTCTGACTGACTGTCTATGTCTATGACTGTCATAGTCTGACTGACTGTCTATGTCTATGACTGTCATAGTCTGACTGACTGTCAATGTCTATGACTGTCATGTCTATGATTGTCTACGTCTTTCTTTCTTTCCTTCCAGACGCGGATACGTACATAGGTTGATTGTCTACTTTTATGACATGTCTATGAATGTACCATGTCATGTCATTGACTATGTCTATGTCATTGAGCTACTAGCCCTAAATCCAAAAATGAATGAGCTGATCAACAAAAATACATTAAAATAAGACAAAATGAAATACGAGTATTGAAGTGAAAATGGGTATTTAACACATTTGTTACGAATACCAAATACTGAAAAATCTCAAATTCTGTTAGTAATTTCAGTGATTACTAAATGACAAAAGACAAATTACATTTGATATTTGTCATCCTTTAAAAGTTTGGTTAACAACTGATATGCTTATTAGATTATTATTCCACTAAGAAATACCACTGACAAAAAAACTTATAGTTTTTTAATGACTTCTAAATAATGTGTAACTATTAATTACGCAACTGTTACGTCCAAATATTAATATTTAAAAAAAATAAAACTTTGAAAGTAAGAAAAATATTTTTTACAGATTATTAAAACGCTTTATGCTACAAATTAAAATAACATTCAATTTGTCGTATTTTTATCAAAAGTTGAAAAATAGATCAGTACACCGTCTTAAATATGAACTATTTATAAAAAAAATTACGTATCTGTTATTTTGATTTCAGCATGATACAAGAAGCTTAAACAACCTTCCTGAGTTAGACATGCGAACTATTCCAGTATGGAACATGGGTTATACCGGCAAAGGAATTGTTGTTACCATAATGGATGATGGTAAGATGTTTATGCAATTATAAAATAACATAAATACTGATGTATTTAGATCACAATTTTCAAACTATTTTTGGTTCTCCGCCAGCTCTCTAAGCCAAACATTGGCGCCCCTATTCGATAAGAAAAAACTTTTTCATTGTTTAAAATTTCTTATAAAATGTACTTTTAATCATGCCCTTAATTAATAGGATTTTTGGTATAATATACATTAAAAAGTCGAATGTTTATTCTCTTTAAAACGCTAAGTAACTCTTAAACATATCATTGTAAAAAATTATTAGCTGTCATAACATTATATTTTTAAGTTGAATGAAAGACGAACACTTCAAAATAGTTTGATGAAAATTTAATGAATTTTTTTTTTGAAGCGAAAGGAAAATTGTTTCAGAATTTTTAGTGTTAAAATGATTTTGTGAACGAAATCATTTTAGTGTTAAAATGATTTTGTGAACGATATCAAGCAAAGTGAAATAAGCAATTGCCTCTCAATGAGTAAAAATTTCAAATGTAAGTATTTATAAGTAGCATGACTCTAAATGAAAGTTTGACTGACTTTTCTTAAGGGAAGTATAGTAAAAATGTATCTCTTTTTCAGGTTTGGAATGGAATCATACTGATATAATTGGAAATTATGTAAGCTAAAATTCTATTCTCAAAGTTTCTTTCAGTTTATTGAGTTTTTAATAATTTATATTTAGCAAATTATATTAACAAATTTTATTGTACAATATAATTTATCAAATTATATTGCAATTAAAAAGGAACAAATAATCTGCGGTATTTTTTTCATATTTTTCACGTGTTACTTCTGAAATAATTGTACTTTCATTTTTGTTATTAATTTTTCTTGTTTTTAGAAACCTAAAGCCCCTTTTTCTGCATTGAACTTATGCTAAAGTAGTATAAAACATTTACGTAAAATTCTATATTTTGTATAATTTTTCACCTTCATTTCAAATTCTAGTTTTTGCCATGCAGCTTTTCTTTCCGTACGATAACTATCTTTTTTTTTTCAAATGATTTTACGATTATTCTTTGTATACTACAAACTTTACGAAAAAGAGTTCCCCTTGGATTCCCTCAGTTTTTGCAATAAAACTAAGAATGATCGAATTAGAACCAGAAAAGATAAATAGAAAAATCGGCCGCCAAAAATTGACCCAATTAATTTTATTGATGAAAGCGTAAAACAATATAATTAATATATTTTTTCCTAATTTTTAATGTAACATATATTAAACATGCATTTATCAAATATATTTTATATTATTTTCAATGAAAATAAAAAGATATAAAGTAAATATAATATTTCTTTTTTTAGAATTTATGTGTTTTAACGCTCGCAAAAACAACACTTTCGAAAGAACTTTTTTAAAAAAAATAAATATCCGCGAAATTCAAAATAATATCAATTAACCCTAATCATAAACGGATTAAAACTGTTAATTCAAATTCTACTTTTTGTCATGCGACTTAGCTTACTGTAAGATAACTTAATCTTTTTTCAAATCATTTTACGATTATTTTTTGTATACTTGCTCTCAATTTTCAGAAATGAATGAACGTCGTATAAATAAACGTCATATAAATAAATTACGATATGATTTCTTTGTCGAATTGATACTCTATCTAATTCTTATCTGTCTTCATATATAATTTTTTGGTAAGTTGCATTGCCAGATATTTTAATAAGAATAGGCCACTATAGTTTTAAATATTTTAAAATTTAAATATGATTTCAATAAGCAAAAATTTTAGAATCAAGACATTAAATTTTTTTTTTATTAGGTGAACATGAGAGTTACTGTTGCTCAGAGAGTTCTCGAACGCTCGTTCCCCAATAAGCTCGGGCAGCTTATTGGGGCTTATTTTGAAGTTGGGTTGGCTGGTAATATGAGCACTGCTCTTAGCTTGCACCGATTACAAGCTTACATATTTATTTAAAAAAAAAATTCTTTTAAAATAGTTTGTTTGCTAAAATTACAGAGTTCATTTGTTAAAATAGCAGTTCTTATCTGCTTAAAAGACAAGCATCCATTTTAATCTAAATTTTTTTCGTTGAGAAATAACCGCTTTCAAATAACCAGAAATAAACAATATTCAAGTTCATTGCATCATAAAATATTTCCTTTCTCAGTCATTTTTTAACAGAAATTATCATAACGACGGCCCAAATGCTTTTGCAATCTATTTCAGAAACTAGTCTTTTATTTCCTACTTTTAAATCCGTGTATCTTAGGCATTTAATAAATTAAAAAGGACAATACAGATAAAACAATTTTTAGATAAATTTTTTTTCATGCAATAGCTAATTAGCTTTTAAATTTTTTTCGATATGCTAGACGCAACAATTTTGATAATTTTGGAGAATCAAGAAAATTACTGATGCTTAAATGGCCAGGTTTCAAAATATGTGTTTTTTTTTTCTTAAAAAATATCTTTATTGGAACTGATTTTTGAAAAATTGGGATCTAGGAAATTCGGAAAATTGAGGAAATCGTGTTTCTTTTTTATACTATCAAAGCAATTTCCTTAGGTTCAAAGTATTATCAAATGTACTTGTTTACACTGCAACAATTTTATTTTCTTTTTAATTTTATAATAGGTAGGCTGAACAGTGGGCAAGAATCTTTGAAACTCCTTAATAGTTTTTTCCTTAAAGCTTAAGATTGGCCAACACTGCTTTTCAATTTGCAGAAAATAGAACTAAGAATCATATTTAGTGAATGAATTTCTTATTAAACATTGCTCACTATTTTTAAACCTTAAAAAATAAAAAATAGAAACAAAAAATTTAGCTTAGCAGGCAAAATTTTACTCATAAGGTGACTGGCAATCTTAGCATCTTCTTTATTCAATCGATTTTAAAGAAATGTAATAAAGCAAATTTATTAGTTGTATTTTTGTATATGTTAAATATTCTATTTATTAGGTAAATATATTAATTGTATTTAAGTATTGAATTAAAATTTTATTTTAGCTCTTTCTCAAAAGCATTTTCATGAAGGGAAATTCTAAAAAAAATCAATTTGAACTAAATTCTAAGTTATATTATAATTTTGTACTTGCATATTTTTTCTTTTTTCAAATATTTCACATATGCTTTTAAAAAAAAACAATATTTTTTTTAAAGAAAAAATCCAGATTTTTCCAGATTTTTCACCTCGATAATAACCATAAATATGTAAGATTAATTTTCAGATATTTCGTATTTTATAAATTTATGCGGAGCAGTTCGGGAATAACTTTTAAATGATGTATTTCGAGCTCCTCTTTATCTTTCAAAATATTGCGGATCGAAAATTTATAGTATCATTTTCATTAACAGTATATTAATAGCACTAGCTAGAGATAATATAAAACCTAAGGCGATATTTCATACGGTGAAAGATCTTACAACGTAAGTCAAAATTAACATATGTTTGTAAAATATCCAATCTTAAAGAAACAAAAATCAAGAATTCTTGAGAATGTCTTCTAAAAATTTCAGTGGTTATAAAATGAGATTATGTATAGTGGTTATAGAAGAAAGTTTCCTCATGGATTCACTTAAAAAAAAAAAAGAAACATTTTTCTAAGACCCTAAGACCCGATACCAATGATGATGATCAGTTGTTATAAGATAAGATTATGTATAGTGGTAATCAAAATGTTTCTCTATGGATTTACTAAAAACATTATTTTTATAAGGATCTGAGAGCTATTTGGGATACCAATGATGATGATCAGTGGTTATAAGATAAGATTATATATAGTGATATAAAGTCTAAAAATATTAAAAATTACCGGGCTAGCAAAAGCATAAACAAAATAAACTAAACACATAAAGAGATAAACAATAAAATAAAAGCAGACGATAAAATTAGAACAAAAGAGAGTTGTTGATATTTTGGAGTAGTTGTTGGTTTTTGGAATTTGTAAGTTTATTCTAACCCGTTACGGGAATTGCTATATATTTTTGAAAGATTATTATTAACCTGTGACGGGTAGTTTATTGTCGTTACTGTATTTGTTGTGGTGTGAAATAAATATTTTTTAATAAAACAAAGACTTGTTCTAGATACGCTACAGTGGTAATAAAAAAGTTTCTCTATAGATTTACTAACGCATTATTTTTATAAGGATCTGAGAGCTATTTGGGATACCAGTGATGATGATCAGTGATTATAAGATAAGATTACATATAGTGGTTATAAGAAAGTTCCTTTATGAATTTACTTAAAAAACTTATTTTTCCAGGATCCGAAAGCTAGTTGGGATACCAATGATGATGACGATGATCCCTTTCCAAGATACGATGCATCCGATTCCAACAAGTATTTTTTTAAATATTTTATTTATTTGTAATTTGTTTGTTTTGAGTTGTAATCTTCTTTAAAATACTTATTATATTTATTTTTTAGTCATGGAACACGTTGCGCTGGAGAAGTAGCCATGAAGGCTGATAACAAAAAATGCGGCGTTGGAGTTGCTTACAATGCTAAGATTGGAGGTAAACTAAATAGTGAAATAACATGTAATAATTAAAAACATCTTAATTCCTGACAGTCAAAATATCGGGAAAACTGCAATGTGGAAAATAGTTTGTTCAGGAGAGCGATCCAAAGGCCCCTTAATGTTAATTTGGACTATTTACACATTTCGCCATATTTCGAGAACATTTTGAGTGAGTTAAAAAATTATTGCACACCTTTCTTTTGTTTTATTGGGACCATATTTTCCAGATTGCGGCTATTCCCTATAGTTTGAGGATCATATTTTTGAATCCATCGGAAAAAAAAGCATTTTTATTCAAAGAAAGAAGCTTTTTGTGTCTGTTTTTGTAACTTACAACTTCATTTTCCCTAATTAGTAAGCATATTTGAGGTCATCCTCTCGAACCATTATGATTGAGTCCTAAAGCGTCAAGATCAGATCATTAGATGGTCCATTTATATTTTTACACATTGTGCACTGAGAAAATGTATGATCAAAACAGCCAGAATACAATAAAATTTACTTTGCTTCAGGCTTTATGGATACACCAAAAGCTTAGTAATTTTTATTAAAGCAAAGCGCTTTAATAAAAATTACTAAGCTTTAAAAATTTTTGGTTAAATAAACCATGATATATGGTTTTATTACCATACTGTTCAATACTAAATATGGTGAAATTTGATGGTTTTATTATGATACCTTAGAGCATGGCATAAAAACCATTTATTCGGTTAAATGAGAACTATGATTTTGAAAATCAGAACTTCTGATGAACTCTAACCATAGGAAAGGAAAAGAAAGCGCAAAATGAATAATTTAATAAATACTGAAATACACAAAAATAAATATTACCAAAGTAACATTGTTATTGCTTTTTTTTTAAATTTTTTATTTATTTATCAGAATTGCTCTAGTGGCGCATTCGCTTAAGGTGTCTATCACTCCTCTGTTTGAAGTGGAAGTTTGGAGAGAAAAGGGTACCAGCTCAGGCATTGTCCACGTCGTCTGACCTGAGTCTAAATTACGTTGTATTCCTAACATGGCCGCTAAGAGATAGAGTCCTAAAATCTCTGGGTGAAAATACCCTCACCATACAGTAAGGTTATTATACCAAAATTTTTCTCTCCTGTGAATCAGTTTCATATAAGTAAATCGTAAGGATGAATCGGACTACAAGCTTTCTAATTTACCTTGGTTAGAATTACAACCTCTCTAATGGCGGTTAGAGCATCAGATTAAGCTGACTAGTTCGATACCAACCATCGGGCGGCAAACGAATCCTGCATGAAACCTGGACATTTGACCTGGCCAGGTTCACCCTAATGCTAATATACATTAATAACAAATTCAGCCCTATTTTCTGTTCTTTCCTCCATCCTCTACATTAATGACCATGCGCAAAACATGCAATTCTTTTTTTTCTCGACAGATGACAGCCCGACGCTACATCGCTGCATTCCTATGATTCGTCTTCAGAGGACGCCATACCGCATGAGAAACTTTTCATCATAAATTCTATTTTTAAGGCCATAATTAATTTAAAATTTAAAGAATAGGAAAAGTGAGTTTAGGCAAATCTATAGTATTTCAATTACTAAAAAAATTCGAAATTTGAAGACGCAAACAAATTATTGAGTACTTTGCCATCACATAATCCTAAGTCATCTTCTCATAATTTATTTTCATTTTAATATTTTGAAAATATCTTTGCAGTATTTAAAACATCATGGCTTGCTCTTGATCTGCTTAAACTCAGTTTTTTTAAATATTTATGGAAGTGAAAGAGAATTTGCGAAAAGTTTCTCTCTTGGTATAGCGTCCTCTTAACATTATTGACACAATTTTCTAGATTACAATCAATGCCAATTTTTTATCGTAAACTGTACCGTGTTTAATCATACACGGTCTTACCGAAAAAGTCTGTCCAATATATGTATTTTTTTTATGGTTCTATTACAGAAAATTACTGTTAACGTCATTTTTCCATGGCACAAAATATTATGGCAACTTTTATGCCAGAGAATTTCAACAATACTTTAGGATTTTTTACACTTTCTCAAGAAATGGCTAAATGCTGAATCCTCATATCGATATATTGAATATTTGCATATTTGCTGCACACTTGAAAATATATTAAATCGAACCGTTTTTTCATTCAATCTGGGACCTACTAACATGCAATAAAGACCAAGGAAATTTTTGTACTACTAGATGGTACAATATTTCACCTAGGTAAAGCTGCAGCAAGTTTAAACGATATTTTGGTTCAAAGTAGTTAAGAATTTCTAACAAAGTGTGAAATATATTGAATTCATTTTACCTTTTTAAACTCTATCATTTTATGTGTAAGAGATACATTTCACTTGAGTTCATAATAAGCACTAATTTAGAATAAAATGAAACTTTTACTTTTTAATTTAACTACATGTTTTAATATTATTTTAGCCATGGTGTCTTAGGAAATAGAGCGTTAGCTTCTCAATGAAGTGACACAGGTTCGAATCCTTGCGGTAGCTAGTTGAAGCAAATTTTGTTCCTGGTTAACCTCTACCACTGTCCTGAAATATAATATCCTTAGTGGTAAACGCCTCAGCGGTCATGGGTTTTAATCCACTAACTATCAAGCTAATCTTAGGAGGTTTTCATGGTTTTCCTATCCTTGTAACACAAATTCGGGTTAGATCTATCGAAAAGTCCTTCACCAAGAAAAGTTTGTCCCAATGCTTAATATAAGAGTTCTCTTGTCTCCTGGGTAGGGTTCAAAATTACTGAATTGCTCTAGCTGTTCAACGTCGGTTGTATTATAAAATTAATATTATTTAACAATTAATATAACAATTAATACTATTTTAAATACATAATTGTTTTATATATCATCCAAATAAAAATATATGGGTTATGTTTTATAGGTAAATGACTAATATAAATTTAAAAAATATGTGAAATAACTATGCCGTAGTGAGCTTTATTAAAATTATTAAAATTTGTCCAAAAATACAATTTTGGAAGTGTTATTAGTTTATATAAAGATTGAAATTTTAGAAGAGCCAGTTTTCCTTCCAAGCATTTACTTTTTAGTTTTTTCTTAACTCCGTTTTATATGATCTTTTATTGATCGAAACTTTATCAAATGAAATTTTATTTTCACGAGTCAATATTTTATGGAATCTATAAAATTTAAAGCCTGAGAACTTGAAATTTAAGAACTAAAGATTCAGCATAAATTCACCCCTGGGACAGATTGTTATAAACTTTTGAGTTTCTTAATGTTTCAGACATTCTAAACATTTAAACTTAAATATATTCATTCACGTCTATATATTATTTCTGAATGCATGTTATTTCAATATTTTTTCCATATGTATGTAATGATTCATAGATAAAAAATTATATTTTATTTTTGTGAGAAACTAAAAAAAACTTTAAAGCATTAAAAAACCAAAGAAACAAACAAAAATTGCACTATGTGATGAAAAGTGAGAGAAACAAAAGAGCCTGAAATTATTTTAAATCTTAATTAATCTTTTCATAAGAATATAAATAGGGGCGGGTTAATAACTGACCTCTGTGTAAAATATTGAATAGTTGAAAAATCTTAAAAAAATTGCATTAAAGCTTCTTAATGTATCAGACACTCTAAAAATTTAAAATTAAATATATTCACCCACGTCTAAAAATTATTTTTGAATACTTGTTATTTCAATATTTTTTTCATATGAATGCTATGATTCATAGAAAAAAACATTTTATCCTATGAGTTAAATGAGAAAACAAACTTTAAATCATTAAAAAACCAAAGAAATAAATAAAGTTGTATTACGTGCATAAAAGTGAAAAATGCCTTTGAAATTATTTTAGGTCTTAATTAATTCTTTCATAAAAATATAAATAGAGGTTGGTTAATAACTGATGGCTGTGTTTAAAATATTGAATGGTTGAAAACTCTTAAAAAATCGCATTAAAGTAACAGTAGTCTACTAAACATTATTACATCAATGTAAAGCTGCATAATTCTTATAATTTGGTGATTTTTTTCGTACTATCGTTATCAGCTCTTTGAAATTGCAAATTATATCTTTTCAAAGCAATACCGTAAAATTATGTTTTCGATAAAAGCTGAAAGATGAGTAATTAATTAAAAATATTTTTCTTTCTGAGTTGAATGCAAAATTATTTTTAATAAACATTTTTTTAAAATTTTTGTTATAGTTGCTTAAAGTAGTGTTGAAGTGTTTAAAGTTGTCTAACAGTTGATAAAAAAATATTAAAAGAATAGAGTAAGCAATACGACATTATTTTCTAAGTTTAGTAACATGAAACATAGCTTCAAAATAAATAAAGAAATAAGTTGATATTAAAGATACGTTAAGATGTCCGACTAGTTTTGAAAGATTTTTTTTCTTAAATATTAATTTAAATTTCAGAAAAGTTTGTTTATTTGTTTTATTATGCGTAAGAACTATTATTTTAAAAGGCTATTTTAGGTTTAAAAAAAAGCATTTTTTTACATGCGTTAAACACTGTAACAGAATTTTTATCGCCTAAAACAATAAATTCTTTGAGGATTTTATTTACATGGTCATCAACTGTGTTTTGAAGTATCATCTTAAAAGCGGCTGCATATACTACTGAGTTAAGGGTTAATGTAGTTATAAAAGAGCAAAATTTTTTTTTTTAATTTCTGTATTTGTTTTTGAGAAAAATCATGCATAAAAAATTAAATTCTACTTTATTCTTTTAGTCTGTAGTTCAAAACATTGGTGTTATAACTGTAAACACTCGTAAAAAATTGTAGACAACTATTTTAAAAACAAACATGAAATATCGTATTTAAGGCACTGTAAAATGCTTAATTTGAGATAAACGCATTTAAGGACTTAAAAGCATCAGTAAAATCACCTGGAAAGAAACCTACGACAACTTCGTAAATAATTTGAAAACAAACTAAAGAAAAGTGTTTTTCATTATATTCAGGGATCCTTAATTTATAATAAATTCAATCGAGAAAATTTTGCC